TACACTGAGTTTACACTGAGTTTACACTGGGTTTACACTGAGTTTACACTGGATTTACACTGAGTTTAACACTGGATTTACACTGGATTTACAGCGAGTTTACACTGGATTTACACTGAGTTTACACTGAGTTTACACTGGATTTACACTGAGTTTACACTGGATTTACACTGAGTTAACACTGGGTTTACACTGGATTTACACTGAGTTTACACTGGATTTACACTGAGTTAACACTGGATTTACACTGAGTTTACACTGAGTTTACACTGGGTTTACACTGAGTTTACACTGAGTTTACACTGACTGCACAGTGTGTCTGACTCATAATTACTGTTACACCAAATACAATAACTGCAGTGTGTATTTGACCAAAGCAGCACGATTTTGTTCAATAACACAAAACTAATGACTACGACACAGATTAATGTGACTCTGACGTAGTTGGACCTGGTGTTGGTTTATTTGACCTCGGCTCTGAAATCTGCTGCTGTCCTCCAGAGGGCGCTCTTCGATTTGGACCATGAACCCAACTACTACCAGTCCTTTCAGCTGCACCTGCCACCGAACTGTGGTCTACTGTCCATCTCACTGACAGAGGACAACAGAACAGAGAACAAAGAGAACACAGAGAACACAGAGGTCTGGAGACACGAGCTGAATCTGACTGGTCAGTCATGTTATTGTCCTGTTGTGTGTTTGTTTCTCTGTTGTGTGTTTGTTTCTCTGTTGTGTGTTTGTTTCTCTGTTGTGTGTTTGTTTCTCTGTTGTGTGTTTGTTTCTCTGCTCTGATCAGGTCTGTTTCTGTGCTTCAGAGGTCATTGTGGGTGAAGACCAGAGGCCCCAGGTCAGTCCTCGGGTCAGTCCCGTGCAGCAGCTCGAGTCGGTGCGTTCTGAGTTTGTGCAGAGTGTGTGTCTGACGAGGTGCTGAAACAGCTCCTGGATAAACTTCAGCAGGAGAAGGTCCTGACGTCAGAGGAAGCAGGTTGCAGGACAGTGAAGAGCAGAGAAGATAAAGCCCGATACCTGCTGGACACTGTGATACCAAAAGGCGAGGCAGCATCTTCAGTCTTGATCCGAGTCTTTCGTGAACTTGACCCGTGTTCAGACCTTTGCAGGAAACTCAGGACTGAGGATTCATGAAAATAAATCTTCTTTAGATGAAGTTTGTCCAACTGCGTGAAGTCGCCGCCATCAAACACAAAACTACACAAAAACACTGTCAAATGAGTTTTGGAGACATTAACGATTCTTTTACAGATCAAACTGTTGATGTTGTTTTTTTTGTGTCAGTTTTTAAGATCAAAACGGCCCCTGTGTAAAATCATTTGAACAAGTTTGATGGTTTCTTGGTGTTTGGACAGAAGACAAAGATCTGAGCTGGTGAACGTATAAAAAAAATGAACTCAGTCTTATTTTCTTTTTACTTTTATGAAGCAGGAACTGTTTGACGTGAAACGAGTGAGACCAGAAACACGAACGTGTCCGAGGGTTAAACACAAGAAAAGACTTTTATTTTGTTGAAATCAGGTTCAAAGTGTCGCCACTGATGCCCCACCCCTCAGCACAGGCCGTTATTATTACTATTTTAAAATGATTTTGTTTGGCGCATTTCTCTTTAGACTGAGGGCACAAACTTTAGCGCCCAGACCAATGACATCACAGTCTCTGTTTATTTAGTGTAGTGTGATTGGACAACTGTCCTGTCACTCACGTCACGTCGAGAGGAGCCAGTTGAGGCTTGGGCATCTGTTCCGGATGCCTCCTGGGCGCCTCCCTCGGGAGGTGTTCCGGGCATGTCCCACCGGGAGGAGGCCCCGGGGAAAACCCAGGACACACTGGAGGGACTATGTCTCTGGACTGGACTGGGAACACCTTGGGGTCCCCCGGAGGAGCTGGAGGACATGTCTGGGGTGAAGGAAGTCTGGGAGTCCCTGCTTAGGCTGCTGCCCCCACGACTCGGCCCCGGATAAAATGACTGTAGCTGATCTAAAACTTTCATATATTTCTCACTCATGCAGGAGTCA